AAAAAATATGTTTTCGTCGTTTAGGGTCACTAGTACAAGAGCAGAACTGCGGAAGATTTTGCGCACAGCAGCAAATCTTCATTGGGGAGACGGCATATAATTATTTTAAAAGACAGACCTGGTTAAAGTAATCAATGCCCCAGACTTAAATGATTTCAGTATAACTTGCGTAAGACTAAAAGTATTCACCCATACTCTGACATAATGGAAGATATGTGTGTGAGTTTGTTGTGTGTGTGTGTGTGTGTGTGTGTGTGTGTGTGTGTATGTGTATGTGTACGCGCGCGCGTGTATGCATTATTTACAAAAAAACGGGGTCAAAATGAGCAGACACGGCTATTCAAGAGGCAGCCCGCGAACCCAATCCGACCCACAGAAGCCCATCAAATGGCCCGCGGATCACTGCCAAATGTGATCTATTAGGGATATTTCTATGCTAGGGCTCGGACCTCTGGTCCGCGACGATCCATATGTTCAACATTCGGGCCCCTGAGACAACTTAGATTAAAAGATCTGATCTAAGCTACGTCCTCGTGGCTAACCATTTATTAACCTAGCCCGACAGAGAAATGGCAACCACCGTGGTGCATTGGCTAGACGCTCGCCTGCCGATCGGAAGGTCAAGGGATCGGGTCCTGACGGGACGGTCTTTTTTTTTCTCCCTGAAAAAGAAAATGACATTGGCTCCCAAGTCGACCCAGGATTGAGTGAGTACAAGGCTATGTCATGGGAAGTAAAGGCAGTCGGCGTAATTCTGACCACATCATTAACCATGTGCCAATTGGCTATAAAATATATAGGTCTAACGCTATTTGCCCATTTCGCCTGAATGCGTCGACAAGGGCCCTTCCCTTTACTTCACTTCATTTTACTTCACTTTTCTTCACTTACACAGATACATAATGAGATCCCTTGATGACATTATACCCTTACACTTTACACAACATAGTCGTTCAGTTAACTTCACTAATCCTCATCATAACCAATCAAGTGGGAGCCTAGAGAGAATATTGCTGGCGTCACGGCAGACTGTCTCTCTGTCTCTAGCCCGTTTTCGAGCCATATGTGCTTTTATGGCGAATGTATCTTCAATGGCTTGTATCTATTTTCGCGTAGGTCTGACTGTGCTTCGTTCTACCGTCACCACCGCTTTCTCCCTTCTCGCTTCTGTTTAGATTTCTTAGTCATTTACAGTGCAGATCTGATAAGAAGAACTTATGGGGGACCGGATAAATGATTCTTCTAATCAGAAATTATTTTGATCTAGATACGAATTCAAGCAAGGTACATTTCCATGGATTAAAACATTGTTCTTCACAACAGAAATACGCCACCTCGGAGATTGCCTTAAAAAGACATGTGCTTTGTATTACACAAGTCGCCTTTTTAAATACTTATCAAGACATTTTCATCGTACATATTATAGGCGATATGGCAGCCATAGATCCTCTATCAAACTACCCCAATTGCAGATTTCTAACCTCACTATGCAGGTTCAAAGGGGGTGAAGGAGCGTCCGATGCGGGAGAATCAACCTTTTGCCTATTAAAATCATCTCTTAAAGGGCGACTAATGAGGCCTTTGTTGAAATCTGGTTTACTGAGCAGAAAAGTGCAAAAGCTGCCACCTGTCCTTTTACCGATCAAAACATTATTATTATTCTTACTACCACCTCCATCTCCACCACTACTACCACCACCACTACTATCACAAATACTACCACTACTACTACCACCACTACCACTAATAATATAACTATCACTACCCCTACTACCACTCTACCACAACTGCTACTACAACTGCTACTACAGGTACTGTTGTTTCTACTACTAATACTACCTTTTTATTTTTACATAACAGTAAGAATAATAATTATAATATTAATAACAATACGAAAAAGAGTAGCAGCAGCAACAAGAACAACACAAACCTGCGCAACGACAGGTAAATATATAACTACCACCCGACCTAACAAAGTTAAATATTTACAGAAAAGTCTAACGGTGATAAAATTTGTTCACTCTTTCCCACTTGATAAAGCTGTGTGCATAACATTGTTTACTGATTAGTAATACATTGTACATAGAACGGGCAAATAGGTGCCTGTAAACTCACTGATTTACTGTTTATGGGTGAGTTTTCCAACTGTAGATCTGTTTTCACAACCGTCAGCTGTTCCAAGAGCTGTTTACTAAATAGTTTAATATTATTTACAGAAAGGTCTAATGTTTGTTCATCCGATTTCTAAGCTTGTCAGTCGTTTGCTGTGGTCAAAATTTCTCTGTGTGCTTCATTCTTTCGCAGATGTCATCCCAGTTCATATTTTATTTCTAAGATCTAGTTCTGCATGGTCTGTCAATTTTTTCGTCAGCGTTCTCTTTTTCTTATGCATACTGTTTGCCTCGAATATCAATTATTTGTCTGAATGCATCTGTTGATTAATAGGCCGCCATTCGTTACATGCTTAATCCGTTGGATTTCTTTATACTGACTTCCCATGGATATTTACATATGTGCAGATTTTAACAAACTCCTAATCAGAAGAAGTCTTTTAGGACATGCTTGTTGGAGACAGGGGATTTAACCCCCCCCCCCCCCCCCCCCTCCAATGGACCCGCGTAACTCACATTGGGATTAATATGAACAGTTTATTGGTGCATGTTACAATTTTTCTTACATAATGTAGCCAAAAGATCATTATTGCTTGTGATACTTTGTTTTCATGTTTTTTTTCGCGACTGTTCGTTCTGGAATGTTGTTCAAAAATTTTAATCACTGTTTCTATAAATCTCTGGATTTTCCCCAAAAATTGTCTGTGTCTTGTCTTCTTCTTCTTCTTCTAACATTTACCTCAAAAAAGGGGGGGGGGAGAGGGGGGGGGGGGACAGAGGGGAGAGGGGGGAGGGAGTAGGAGGGGGGGGGGGAGGTAGATGTAAGGTTCGTTTGTGCGCCTTTTCCAATGCATTGTACAAGTTGGTTTTCATTTCTGATAGGTTGCTCCTGACGGTGTCGCTCCATATCTTGCGTGGTCTTCCCCTTGTTCTGTGTTCATTATATTTCTTCAGCGTGGCACTCTGTGTGAGTTGGTACCAGGGCATTCTCGTCTGGTGGCCAAACCATCTCATTTGTTGTTCTTTAATGAGCTATGTGACTGGTTTCAGTTCTAGTCTTCTTCTAATTTCTTTATTCCTGATTATATCTCTTGTCACACCAGCAGCTCCCCTAAGACAACTTTCTGTTGTTACGATCTTCCGCTGTAGTAAGAGTAAGGTGTCTTGTCTTAATTTCGAATTATCCAGGAATCACAGACATATGTTTAATTTGGCTCTACGTAGCCCACACAAATTCGTTTTTTCTAGATTCCACTGACAGGCATTTATTGCATAAGATGATTTGTGGGGGGGAGGGGGGGGGGAACTATATGAAAGAATGTTTTCGATTGCCATTTTCCTTATTTCTGTGATACATTTTCGCTCCGATATTATCCATGCGCCAGTTTCCATGGTAATGTTTACCACCGTTAGCTCTCTCGAGGCAAAGTAGAAAAGCGAAATGTTAGGAAATTGTTGAAATTGGAGGTTTCTTGTCGAAAGTGGCATATATCGCAGCCTTGCTGTAAGCCACAACACAGCATGCCAGCCGCTTTTTTGGGTGAACACGGAGGGAAGGAATGAGGCAGTTTGTGTTGTGCTTTTACTTCGCCTTAACATTCCGATTACAGACATCCATTTTTATAAGCTTTTATTATGTTCGCCTTTAAAATAAATTTAAGTGCTGCATTGTATGCGTAACCACACATGTATGGTCCAACACAAACAGTTTTAGAAGCGTCATGTTAAAGTCGAAAGGATCGACTTTTCTGTACCGGTTTTTATCTCATGTGGCTCAGTTTATATCTGCAGAATGGAAATCCGCCTGCGGAGAGTGTCGCCCAAAGCACGAACCTCGTAAGCTTTAGCGACAATCCTCTGGGGTCTCTATAAAAGAAAAGTGTGCTGGTGAACTGAATGGCGCAGTCCAATAATAGAACTTTCAGAGCGCATGCAAACGGCTCGACCACTCAGCCACGGTGACACACAGTCTTCACTGTGTTGTGAGCAAGTACATAAACACACCCTCATATATATATATATATATATATATATATATATATATATATATATATATATATATATATATATATACATATATATATATGTGTGTGTGTGTGTGTGTGTGTGTGTGTATGACTTTTGTCAGGGTGCCAGCACTCACCACAAAGTATAGAAAAAGGTACGAGTACTTAAAAATGTCTATTTACATCCACAGTCACACATGCACTCGACCAAATACTTTATCTGGTAATATATACAGATTGGTTGGCTGTGGTTGATTTTGTGCGTATCTTTGCCTCTAAGGCTGAAGGTATTTATTATCACAGAGGGCTGGTCAGATCAGAGATGCCGGAACCTGCGTGCTTTGGCGCCATGGGGCTCCCTCCCCTTTCTACTGCTTTTTCATAATAATTATAGGCGGGGGCGCCTATTTTAACTATGTGTTTGTAATCTAGCACTTTATGTTTCTTTTTTGTTTTAAACACAATTAAAGAAGGTTTAGACCCATTGAGGCCTTCAACTCCCTTAGAAAATGTGTATGGGGCGTGGCACACTCCCTCCCCCCGTGAGCGGACGACCCTTCCATACCCCGTGCTTTCAATGAGTTGACACCCCTGGTAACCCCATCCCCACCAACTTTAGAATCACTGTGCTGGCTTGATTATCATCACTGAAACAGATAAGAGTATCAATAACACATCTTTCTAATCGATTCATCAATGGTTATGTTTGTAAATTCGGGATCTCTATGAGCCACTTTGGTCTTTCGCTGCCTTTGGCGATGAACATTTTGGTTGTGTGAAAGCTAAATCTTAGAGATTTGTTCAATAAATTATACATCTGAACACCAAAAAAAAAAAAAAAAAAACTAGCAATTTCTGGCTGGATCCAATAATGATAGGGTACCTGAATTTGGCGGGGAACGACGGGCGCACACGCGTAGTGGCAGCTGGTATAATACTTGGTGTTATCGGCGTGTGCAGTCAGTGAGGACTGGTGACTAGGACTTGCCGGCTTGGCTCTGTGCCTGTGGACAACATAAACATGTTTGTAAGCATTGGAGAATGTACAAAAGTCACGATAATGAGAAATAATTTGTTTTTTTCTATTCCTAATTTTCATGACTTTTATCTGGTAGTATAATATTGTCAACGTTAGCTTGTAAGTGTTAGCAGCCATCTTTATTTCCCGAGATTTCCTCCCCTTCTATAAAAATGAACACAGTGAGAGGCCCAGTGTGTCATCATTACAGCCCAACGCTAGCGCGGCCTCTTTGATTAGATGGCTTTTCTTTGCAGTTATACCTTTACCAAAGGTAGCTGCCACAAATAGGAATACAAAAGGCAAGAGGAGCTTTCATAGCACTAGGGAATTTGTGGAGGTTAAAAAAAAGTACTAAACATTTTAAATTCTTATGTCAAATCAGTATGGGGCGGAAACATGGAGAACAACTAAGGCAATTACTAATAGAGTACAGACATTCATTACCTGGTGCATGCGCAGAAAAAAAGGGAATTTAAACAGTATGATAGAATCACTAACGTAGAGCTTTAGGAGAGAACTAAGCAAGCTCCAGTGGGCGAAGAGGTGAAACAAAGACGCTGGCGTTGGATAGGACACACAGAAAACCGGAGAACAATATAACTAGAAGGTCTTTGCATTGGAACCCACAGGGGCATGGGAATAAAGGAAGGCAGAAAAAAAACATAGAGAAGGGAGCTGAAGAATGAAGTCATAAAGAAAGGGGGGGGGGACATGGGGAGAGCTGCATGAGATAGCAAAGGATAGAACGACTTGGTGTGAGTTGGTTAAGGGCCTATGCTCCACTCGGGGCTAGCTCCCAGAACAAGACGAAGCTGTCACAGAACAGGGTTATCTCAATATCTCAGCTTGGATAGGCGATGATACATGTTTCTATGTTTTGCTACTTGTCAAGAAATTCAGCAGTTATTAAGTCTTCGTCTCTCTGTCCGTTTATTGTCTGCCTATCTCTCTCTCTCACAAAATCACACACACACATAAACACAAGCAACACACAAACATTAAAGTTATTATTTAGAACAAGCATGTCGTAGGGGTATACTAAGTAAGGGCTTCCTTTCGAGTCATTATGCATCTGCCCGAGCGGCAAGGAACAACCAGCTGCACACAAATAAGTCAGCAAAGTAAATGTACAGGCAAAATTCAGGCCCTGGCACGAAGCCAAAAATTCAAATGGACGAACAACCAGGACTTTCCGCAGGAGCTAACAGCCTATGAACAAAGAAGAAGAGGAAGATTTATAAGATTTCCTCACCGTGTGGGTTCCGGGGTTTCATATGGAGAGCAGAATAGACCCATTGTCCCCTAGCAACATGTGGTAAAAGGCGACAAACTTAGGGTTTTGTTTTCTTGAGTCCATCTGCATGAGACGAGGAACCAATAGTCTGCAAACAAATGAGACAGAAAGAAAGGGGAAAACAGAAGAACAGGAGAGGGGGAAAGAGTGAGATGGGGAAAGAGTGAGATAGGGATGGGGGAGAGACAAAGATAGAAAACAGAAAGTGCATAAAGGATGCACCAGAGACATGAGCGAGACAGCACAGAGATATGGAGAACTAACGAACAAACTTTATTTTCAAAGGGTTACAAATTGGGCACGCAGGCCCGTCTGACATTCGGCCCTTCTAAGCACTCATTTTTCAGAGTACCAATACCTGTTATCAATGATGCATGTTAAGGATATAATAAAGAAATATAAATTATAGAATAATGCATACACACATCATGTGTACACAATCGTACACACACACACACGTATACATACTCCTACGTTCTCATACATGCGAACTCATATACAGACATACTTGATACATACACACACGTATCTACATACATATACAAACATAAAACACATACACATACATAGACATAAACGCACAAACAGAAAACACACACACATACATTTATGGATATACATGCACACACACACATTCCATACACACACACACCTATACATGCATCCATGCATACAAACATATACAATCACATGTACAGACACCACCATATGCCCATAACCACGCATTTACACTTACATGCATACATACATCAATACATACATGCATACATAAACATACATGCATACATACATATGCATGCATACATACACATACATGCATACACACACACACACACATACACACACACACACACACATATATATATATATATATATATATATATATATATATATATATATATATACAGAAGGAGAGGGGGAGAGAGAGAGAGAGAGAGAGAGAGAGAGAGAGAGAGAGAGAGAGAGAGAGAGAGATGAGTCACCACTGAAAAAGAAGGTGTATAGTGTAACAATAGTGCTCTTTCATCAATCTAATGATTTCAGATACGCTGTTTGCCTACCGGAGGCAAATACCAAACACACAATTTGCGCTCGATACCCGCATAGAACAGCAACGCCGCAAACAAACAAGTAAATGGCACGGGACAATTTACAACCCTTAAACATCCGCGATCAAAGGATGCATGCGCATTACCTTCAGCTGGGCCCAGCTTAACGCTAGATACGGGCATACCCAAAGCTAAACCGTCGTATCAATGGATTGAACAGACGCAGAAACAAAAGATTTATAGAATCTCTAAGCGGGGTAACATGTGCATTCTTTCCTTGGTCGATAATTGCAGTGCTTGAGCAAGAAGGTTGTCGATTTGGACGTAAAGGAAGATGATGCGTGAAAGGAAATTGTAAGACAAGGAAAATAAGCAAAGGGGTAGGAGTGTGGGTACAGAGTTGGTGTATGTTGTTGGTGCATTAGGAGAAGTAAATTTACAAGGTGTTAGAAATTAGGGCAACGATACGGATGACTGAGAGGCAGCTTTTACATCGAATGAAATGGGTAAATAGAAACGGCACTGAAATGTTTTGGAAAAATGGATTGATATGGATTGATTATAACGAATATACATGTAGGGAAATTAGGTAGATTACTATATGTTATGTGTAGATTACTATATGTATATAACTATCAACTATACGTTATTACTTTCAACCATCTGTGTATTCTTCTTCTCAAAATGTTGAATGTTGAATTAAGAGTCGACATCACAGCACACGGTACACCCCAATAAGCGCTCCGTCCCCATCTTCAGCAGCAAGCAAAGAGTTAAATTCCGATGGAACCAGTAATTGTCGATTATGTATCCATCTCGCCCTCCCCCTGAGCGTCGAGCGTCTGCCAGATCCTCTGGTAGCTTATCGCAGTGCCATTTTCCTCAGACCATAATGATTTATCTGTACTTCGGCACTGTTCACTCGCTCGCAAAGGGCACCCACAACATCCAGTTTGTCATACATCAATTCACCCCCAAGTGGTGCAGAACGGGTCAGTCTATCTGCCTGCTAATTTTCCAACACACTGGCATGACCTGGGGAAAATATCCAAAGGATGCTAACTACCCGGGACCTTTGAAGTGATGATTGCCACTCTGCACGGAGCATGCCTGTACCCACCTTTCTCAACATGCTCTTTGAGTCAGTTACAATGACAACATTTATGTACAGTTGATTCTCAACCCAGCATAAGGCAGCAGTGATTGCCTCCACCTCTATTCTCAAACTAGACGTTGTGATATCATATGCCAGGCTTTGTTGCACCAAGCGGCATCCATTCGCCTTCGCTATGAACCCCCATGCACTTCGTCTGCCTCTCAACACAGAGCCATCTGCAAAAACAATCACATTACCTGGGCAGGAATTGTCATGAATCATTTGTTGAACTTCTGATTCTGCAGCACGAGGTAGTTAGTCCCGGCAGTCACGACTCAAAATGATTAGAACCCTACACTAATCTGAAACCTGATCGGACACTTTGACCCACTCGTCTCCTCACCTAAATTTATCAAGACTGCACATATGTCCAGTTGCGTCTTTAGCATGCGCCATTCAAGACTTTCCTTTTTTTCAGTCTGTGACCCTTAGCTCTATCCAGGGTTTCATGCAGGAGGTGGCCCCTGTCCGCAGCTACTCTGAGATATGCATTTGCCTGCAGAACTTTGAGCCTATCACAATAGTAGGCAGTGCAAGTATATATTGCATACATACTACTGGGGTATCTATCTCTTGTACATCCCAGAATTACCTGCATGGATTCATGCTGTATGCGTTCATGTTTTATCAGCTGAATCTTTGATATGGTAAGCATTCCAAGGCCATAATATATCACCGACAGGATCACATGCTGGAACACTGTGAACAACATTCTTTGTTCCATGTCCATTGCTGCCATACTATTGAGAGCATTGAGTCCTTTCTGGCATTTCAACGCAACTGCCTCTACATAATCCCCGAAGGACAGGATTCTATAGAAAAATACCCAGGTAGCTTAGTTTGCTTTTTCGTTTGATGTTATTAAATGTTAACTGTTATTAACTATTGTCAAGAGAGCACCACAAAAACAGCTGCCTTTTCTGAGTTGATGACAGCACCCATTTCTGCACACCAGTAAGTCACTTTGTCTACAGTTGCCTGTAGCCCTTGGGCTTTCCGTCGTCTACCTCTCCCCTGTCTATATGCAAGAGCATCATCATTCAAATGTCAATATCCTTCCAGCACCTGTTGATTCAAGTTGTGCAGTCTTGCTTGTATACACATGAAAGAGCACTGGTAAAATTGCAGAACCCTGGGGTAGTCCAGGGGCGATATTACATGGTTCTGAGTTCCATGTGACCAAATGAAGGACAACCATAGGTGATTGCAGGACAGCTGCTACCCACTTCACAAACCACGGACAAATCCTCTTCTCCATTTAAATATCATTTGACTCTTTTGTTAGCATCCTCAAGATCAAGTGCTACCACAACTGTCTCCTGTCTGTTCTGGAACCCCTCATAAACATCAAAAGCAAAAGTAGCTGTATTTGACCAGGTATCTTTCCGTGGTCGGTAACTACCGAAACCTTTTGACAGGAGCTCTTCAAACTAGCAATTGAGATTCAAAGGGTTGCTATAACATCATTCCCATGTGGGTTCCGG